TATGAGGAGCGACGAGGAACTATGAGGAACTATGAGGAGCGACGAGGAGTGATGAGGAACTATGAGGAACTATGAGGAGCGACGAGGAGTGATGAGGAACTATGAGGAGCGACGAGGAACTATGAGGAGCCACGAGGAACTATGAGGAGCGACGAGGAGTGATGAGGAACTATGAGGAGCGACGAGGAACTACGAGGAGCGACGAGGAACTATGAGGAGCGACCAGGAGCGACGAGGAACTACGAGGAGCGACCAGGAGCCACGAGGAACTACGAGGAGCGACCAGGAGCCACGAGGAACTACGAGGAGCGACCAGGAGCGACGAGGAACTATGAGGAGCGACGAGGAGTGACGAGGAACTATGAGGAGCGACGAGGAACTATGAGGAGCTACGAGGAACTATGAGGAGCAACGAGGAGCAACGAGGAACTATGAGGAGCGACGAGGAACTATGAGGAACTATGAGGAGCGCAGAGGAACTATGAGGAGCGATGAGGAACTATGAGGAACTATGAGGAGTGACCAGGAGTGATGAGGAACTATGAGGAACGACAAGGAGCGATGAGGAACTATGAGGAGCGATGAGGAACTATGAGGAGCGACGAGGAACTACGAGGAGCGATGAGGAACTATGAGGAGCGATGAGGAACTATGAGGAGCGACGAGGAGCGATGAGGAACTATGAGGAGCGACGAGGAGCGATGAGGACCTATGAGGAGCGATGAGGAACTATGAGGAGCGATGAGGAACTATGAGGAGCGACGAGGAGCGATGAGAAACTATGAGGAGTGACGAGGAGCGATGAGAAGCGACGAGGAGTGATAAGGAACTATGAGGAGTGATGAGGAGCTATGAGGAGCGACGAGGAGTGATGAGGAACTATGAGGAGCGATGAGGAACTATGAGGAGCGACAAGGAGCAATGAGGAGCGATAAAGAACTATGAGGAGCGATGAGGAACTATGAGGAGTGATGAGGAACTATGAGAAGCGATGAGGAACTATGAGGAGCGATGAGGAACTATGAGGAGCGACGAGGAGAGATGAGGAACTATGAGGAGGGACGAGGAGTGATGAGGAACTATGAGGAGCGATGAGGAACTATGAGGAGCGACGAGGAGCGATGAGGAACTATGAGGAGCGACGAAGAGTTATGAGGAGCGATGAGGAACTAAGAGGAGCGATGAGGAGCGATGAGGAACTATGAGAAGCGACGAGGAGTGATAAGGAACTATGAGGAGTGATGAGGAGCTATGAGGAGCGACGAGGAGTGATGAGGAACTATGAGGAGTGATGAGGAACTATGAGGAACGACGAAGAGCGATGAGGAACTATGAGGAGCGATGAGGAACTATGAGGAGCGACGAGGAACTATGAGGAGCGACGAGGAGCGATGAGGAACTAAGAGAAGCGATGAGGAATTATGAGGAGCGATGAGGAACTATGAAAAGTGATGAGGAACTATGAGGAGCAACGACGAGCGATGAGGAACTATGAGGAGTGATGAGTAACTATGAGGAGCGACGAGGAAATATGAGGAGTGATGAGGAACTATGAGGAGCGACGAGGAGCGATGAGGAACTACAAGGAGCGATGAGGAACTATGAGGAGTGATGAGTAACTATGAGGAGCGACGAGGAAATATGAGGAGCGACGAGGAGCGATGAGGATCTATGAGGAGCGATGAGGAACTATGAGGAGCGACGAAGAACTATGAGGAGCGACGAGGAACTATGAGGAGCGATGAGGAACTATGAGGAACTATAAGGAGCGACGAGGAGCGATGAGGAACTATGAGGAACTATGAGGAACTATGAGGAGCGACGAGGAGTGATGAGGAACTAAGAGGAGCGATGAGGAACTATGAGGAACTATGAGGAGCGATTAGGAGCGATGAGGAACTATGAGGAGCGATGAGGAACAATGAGGAGCAATGAGGAACTATGAGGAGCGACGAGGAACTATGAGGAGCGATGAGGAACTATGAGGAGCAACGAGGAACTATGAGGAACTATAAGGAGCGACGAGGAGTGATGAGGAACTATGAGGAGCGACGAGGAGTGATGAGGAACTATGAGGAGCGATGAGGAGTGATGAGGAACTATGAGGAGTAATGAGGAACTATGAGGAGCGATGAGGAAGTATGAGGAGCAATAAGGAACTATGAGGAGCGACGAGGAACTATGAGGAGCGATGAGGAACTATGAGGAGCAACGAGGAACTATGAGGAACTATAAGAAGCGACGAGGAGCGATGAGGAGTGATGAGGAACGATGAGGAACTATGAGGAGCGACGAGGAGTGATGAGGAACTATGAGGAGCGATGAGGAGTGATGAGGAACTAAGAGGAGCGATGAGGAACTATGAGGAGCGATGAGGAGCGATGAGGAACTATGAGGAACTATGAGGAGCGACGAGGAGTGATGAGGAACTATGAGGAGCGATGAGGAGCGATGAGGAACTAAGAGGAGCGATGAGGAACTATGAGGAACTATGAGGAGC